CAAATCCCTCTGATATCCTCCAAATGCTGCACACTAGGATTTCAGATTAACTGATGAACCCCATGGGACACATGCATACGTAACAACAGCCTAACGCATGTATACGGAAGGCCTTACTCCAGAAATTCAGTGATGTATTTCCTACTGCATTTTGACCACATCCAGGGGTTGGTGTAGAAATTCAGCGTTGGTGCCATGACATGCTGTTGATTTTTACCTCCATCTTCTTTGCACTTATGATTGTCATCGTGTGGCATGTTAAATCTAAGAGAAAAACAGTAGCAAAAAGTACGGTCAGTTAAGTGGCAAATGCCAGGTATTCATCATAGCAACAGCAACAGTGTGAACTAAATGTAAGCAAAGCCAAGATTTTTTCCTAGATATGCTGACAGATGCTACAGAATAAAAGTATCAACATGCACATATTCAGGTCAACAAGCATTGCTCAAACGGGGTTCCTAGCACTAGTCTGCAAAAAGCTATGCAGCACCCCAGTAAGCTCTCCACGCCATGACTGCACATATTTAGCCAGACAAGTCCTTGAGGAACCGTGGATTAAGACAATTGCAGCTTCAGTTTCCTTTTCAGCTGATGGTTGAGATCCTGCAGGAGGGCTGGAGTTTGGCTCCACCTTCATAAAAATGGCAAGTTCTCTGGAATTGAGCCAAAGAGCCAAAAGTTGATCTGGGCGAACAGTTTATGAAGCAGATGAATGACTTGAGCCCACTGCCCATCGCGGCCTCAAGACCTTCATGTAATAGGCAGCACCCTACGTTGGCTGCAGAATGTTTTCTATTGCAGTTGAATACCTTGGGCCATGCTGATCCCTCTTGCTGTTGCCTAAATAGGGTTCCACCAGGGACAGACTTGGCTGCTATACTTGATGTGGTAGGTTTACAAAATGCCATCAAGCATCAATATCAGCAGAAACCCACGCGAAGTCTGCAGCACATGACATATTGAAGAATGTGGCAAATACACTAACGGAGACAGAACGGCTTAAAGCACTTTGCTGTTTGAAGTGGAGAAGGGGAAATGACCCGGTGTGATCCTGCGTTCGAAGGCTGGGGAGTTTATATCCCATTAAGATTACCTCCAATGAACCACCTTTTCACTCTGCTCCCTGTAAAAGAGCAAAGAGGCATTTCCTGCTCGGGAGCACCACTAACCCCTCCGGCAGCTCCGAGGCAGCATTAGCGAAGGAATTAGTCACAGGTTAGGTGTGGGGAACGCCAAACCTTTGGGGACCTTCTGTCAGGAAATCTCATTTAAACAACTACTACTGTGGTTAAAAATAGACCATCCCAGCCAGCTCTCCGTGAAGAAAAAGGAAGTTTAAAAGAATGAGAGATCTATTCCCAAGTACTCAATCCATCCCACACCTACATACCTCCGCTGCAAACCAGGCGTGAGGTGGTTTGAGACTGAACCAGTTGCCTAAGAGTTGTAGCTGGGAGGTAATGGACTATGTGATCTAAGATGATTTTTCTCACTATCACTCTCAAAAAAAGTCAAAATCCATTAAAAGCAATTTCCACTGGAGCAGGTGCATCTTGAATGACAGCATCTCTTCTGGGATGTCCAGCAGCATGAGATTTTCTCTCATGAAATAGCTCGGGAGGTGGGTCAGGCTCACTTACACATCCCGATCACCTGCCAGATGCCCTGAATAAATTCCGCCCTTCATGCACCGCTGTTGCGCTGCCTTCAACAGCACCATGCACGGTGGTGGGACGAGCTGTGGCTGCAGGCTGAGGACCTGCTCTCAAAGGAGACTTCAGTCCTGAAGGCCAGGTGAGATGTGCCCATGTCCCTCACCCTGGTCCTCCCCGAGGCACACAGCACATCTCAGCTCTGGCCAAAATCGTGGCTAGCCTCAATGGCTTGGCCAGGACATCATGGGTGCTGGGACAGATTCTGCTGACATCCGCACGTAGATGTAAGAAGATGCAGTAATAAGGGATATATTGTTAGATCTCCTCTCTTGCTTAGGTGCTGCTTGGGGTACCCTGTCACTCATCCTCCCCAAAATGTGGGTCTGCTGGTTTTGCTGCTCTCAGATAGGCTCCGGAGCACCCCACCACCTCCCAGAGTTACAGCACAGCTTAATGTTCCTTGGTAGTGCATCTTCTACCCAAGTATATTTATCTCCTCTCAAATAATTAGGCTCAGCAGGTACCAAGTCCTAGCCTGGCTTGCAAGCCCTAGCTAGCATAAATCTTAGGCTATTTAGATGTAAATGTATTTACATAAAACATACACATGGCCAAGTTCATGTGCTATTGTGAAAGCAGTGCTCAGTCCATTATCTTCACTAATTGAACAGCTCCTGTATGGGTCACAGACCGTGCCCAGCTCTGCCAGACCTAGGAGAGAACAAAGAGGTTTACGATAGAAAAAAGAAATGTTGTCCATGGATCAGCACAGGCAACTAACATTGTCACTACAAAAAAAAAAAAAAGTTATTAAAAGACAAAGAAAAGGTTTTCCTTACCCAGAGTATCACATTTGTCGTGCGCTCTACAAATATCCTGTCTGAAAGCAGAACAGACCCGACACATTAATTTTCAATGCAGCAGTGAGTTAAGGTACAAGCACAATAATAACAACATTCAAAAGCAATTCTTGGTCCTCCAATGGACCTTCTCGTGCTGGTTTGCCACATCATCCAGCCAGAGTCTGAACCGCCTCCCAGAGTTTTTCATCTTATGTTGAACCCATGGGCAGACCTTGGACAGTCCTGAACCTCTCAAAGTCATCTACTGCTATGGTGGACACATTATTCCAATTCTGCTCACAGTTATACTGCTCCCACAATTGCAAATGTCATTAGACTCACATCAAAACCCGAACATTCCCCATAGCTGGATATATTATATGCTCACAGCCTCTGACACATGACTGGCTACAGTTTTCATGAGAATATTCACCACACCTGGTAACAAGCACAGCTGTATCGTGTTGAAGGTGACTTCCTTCCGGGTGGTTCTGGGATTGCTGCCATTGGCAAAAGTTTTTTAATGTTGTCTGGGCATTGTAAGATATTGCAGGACCATCCTAATAAGCAACACACAGAAAGCAGGTATTTTCATTATTTATCGCGATGCTTACTACAAATGCCGCTGTCAAACAAAAGGTGAAGAAAATCACTTCCATTACCTGTTCGTTATGTATCACGACCAACTTCACAATAACAATATTAATTAAATTTCCAATGCTTGGGTCTTTGTAGATAGAAGCCACCTGTTTCAAGAAGAAATATTCAGAATTATTGCTAACATTCCAGGAAACAAGCAATTAAGACAACACATGCATGTTTTCCATTTTGCAACTGTTCGTCTCCTGAGCTGCTCTTCTGCCCTACTCAGTGCTCTGATGTTGCTTGGAGAGATCTCCTGCCAGAAGCACAATTTTAGAATGAAACAAACCTGCTGGTATTGCAGAAACCCAACATTTCCTTTTGCTTTAGCACGCATTTCACCAAATTACAGGATCATTCTGCTCTGAGATACAATGACCACCAACCAAGGCTGTCAAAAGCAACCTACTCTCTCAAGTGCCTCATTTTGACATAGACAGTTTTAGACTACGTATTCATTGCACTTCTACCCTCGAATAGGATGAAAATCTCTCCAGTGACACAACTACGCTGGTTCCTCACTTCCAGTCACTCTGCAACTACAGAGCTGCCCGTCTGGGGACTGCAGTACTGCATCCTAGTACCAGCAGCTACTAAAATGTTCATCCTCAGCCTGGAAAGCCAACCCTAGCACTATGCTAAGGATCAAGGCGACCACAGGCTCCTTCTCCTTGCAATAGCAAGGGAAGTCAGGCAACTGCATAACCTACTAGCATCAGTCCCTTGGAAGGCACAGTCCCCAAATACCTTTTTAATTCAGCTGCTATTTCACATGGGCTTAAATAAAAAGAAGAGTACGGCATGTGGACTAAAGGGCCAGTGATATTTCTCATGCTGCCTGGGGTTCAGAAAGCTGGAAGGGAGAGGTGTGGAAAGTGTTAGGAAATATGATGGGTCTGGGAAGGAAGAAGACTCCAACCAACACTCTCCAGCCAGGTTTTACCAAGCTTTATTCTAATCCCAGCATTGTCTCCGTGCCTGGCCGAGGCAAACTGACAGTATCACGTAAGACTGCAGCAGAAAGTGTGCCCTGTGACCACTAGAAAATGATCCGTGGGTGAATCCACTCCTCCTAGCTGAATACTCACTATTGACATTAACGTCAGGACATAGTGCTGCAGATTAGCTCCATGGTAGGCGACCATCCTGCTGTCAGCCACCACCATCACTTCCACAAACCGAGGGTAGGAGAGAAATCGCTTTGTTCGTTTGTGGCTCTTCTTTTCACTGATGTTCCCAGTCTTGTTGCTATCCGCAGAAAACGAATTAATTTCCAGGCTGTGTTTCAACACCTCCATGTCAGATAATATGCTGCTTTCAGCCCACTGTCTTCTCCAGTGTTTCCGCTTGTTCTTTTTGTGACCGTGTTCATGATCTATGATTAAAAAGCAGACAAAAACATGAAGTACATTCTGGAGTGAACACAGGAAATACCACATGCATGTTATGCTAAAATACCTATTTACTTCAACGAAGAGTTAGCAGGCTAGTTCCAAACAGCTAACCGAAACAGAAGCACTTGGTGGAAGCCCACCATGAATTCCAACATCTAAGGCTTTTCTTAATTTTTAAAGTAATCTTATGGATGCCAAAGGCACCTAAAGGCAGACATTCACGTAAAGGCTTTCCTGCAGCAGAGCCGTCTCCTTGCCCACGCAGGAGGGATGGAGCCTGGGCTGCCATTCGGTTTAACGCGACGTGAGCCCAGTGATGGTAATTAGCCACCACAGCGGCAGCGTGAGGATTCTGGGCACGTCCAAGGTGGCCAGGAAACCACAGGAAACAAAGGTCCAAATCCTGTATTTCTAACTCAGGCATGAAGGACGGCAGGATTTGGCCTTCATAGCAGAGCAATTATATATGATTTATTTCTGTCTCTAACAATAACACGGCTGGGCTTCAATTCCCCCCCTCCCTTTATTATTCTGTGCTACGGGAATGGTAAAGGTCATCTAATAGCACAGCTGCCACTGGCTAAAGAATAGAATTCAGGAAGTTTCACATATACTGCTTTTGATATTCAATTAGGCCAAACATAAAAGCAGCCTGAAAATATACTCCATGCTGATACAAAGACGACAAAGTGAAGAAGGAGAACAGGGAAATAAAACATATGGAACGTGTACAATTAAGATTTACCATCTGATTAGTATGTAATTATAGCATTATTTAAATGTAAGAGCAAAATCAGTCTTATTTGATGCCACTTAATTTTTAATCAGTTCATCATAGGAAGTAGCTAATTGAATGTGATTCATCCATGAGAGACTGTTCGCTTCTGCATTTAATATAAAGCCAGATCTGAACTACTCATCTAAGACTCCAGGCTACAACCCTTACGCTCTTTGTAGCTTTAGTTTAATTTCGTCATGGTGGTGAAAAATATCACATTTCCTTATCTGACCCACTGAGTAGGTTAGAGGAAGCATAATATTAGGGAACAAAGGAATATTCAATGCTCAAACGAGATTGAAATGATAGGAAACTTCTTAGCTATTTTTCCTGTGTAGTTTCCTTTTAGGATATTTTGTAATAATTTCCAAAAAAAGAAATATAAAATACATTCTCTAATATCAAGGCAAGCAAAGGGGGTCAGCCAGCACCTACCTGTCTGAAAAATACTATCCTTTTGCTCTATGTGTAAATAGACTATTTAGAGTATTTAAGAATTGAATCCTGTTTACTTTGCACTACCTAAGTCCTACGAATTCCCCTTTCTTGATATAGTCCAGACCACCTTAATACAGCAGAGAGCCTGCAGTTATTTGAGTAAGAATTTGAGAAAGCCAATGGCATTTGTTGTTATAATTGGATTGCCCTAGTTCCTCTGCACTAATCAATGCCCTTGTGTTGGCAAGGTTGTGCTCTCATGCTGGCACAGCTTCATGGGCAACCGTGACATTATCCCGACTCGTTCAGTGCCAACCAGTGCGGGAAGCCAACTATGCATACAAATAACTTAAAGGTGAGAAGACCAGACTGAGGAGAAAGTGCTAACCTCAGCCCTTCAGCCAGGTCCTCTCCTCTCTGCATCCTCAGCCAGTCCCTTAAATTTCCCTTTTAAATAACTAACTTCCAAAAGAAGCAGGTGCTCAAGTAAAAATGCGTTAAAGATTGGGAGATGCTCAACAGGGCTTGGGCGAGGCTGAAGGCAATATTTCAGTGCAAAGGCAGAGCTCTGCGCCATCCCAAACGGGACCATGGGGCTCAGGTGTCTTCTCCTCTGGCCAGTCTGGCAGAGGGAAGTTAGATGGCAAAAGAAGAGGGAAATGCAAAGGATTCTTTGAAGAGACACCTATTATACAGCAGGTGTTTAAAAGAAATCAATTTATATTCACCAGACTCGCACTGAAATCCTGCAGCTGTTGTCACACAAAAAAAACCCCACCCAAAACCACGTGAAATGCCAGGTCTGGTTCCAAGAGCCCCAACCTGACTCACCATGCAGGAGAACCAGAGCCCAACACAGTCAGGTACACCCAGCACAGAGGAAAAACTACCCTTCTTTCTGTAGCAGAGATCTGTCATGGTGTCATAGAACCAGAATCATTTAGGTTGGAAAAGACTCTTAAGATCATCAAGCCCAATCATTAATCTAACACTGCCAAGTGTCAGTACAGCATCAGTGTACTTTCCCTCTCCAGCACACAAATCAAGTCACCCAGATCATCCCTTCAAAAACCAACGTATTTTTTTTCCAAGTATGAAGTCACTCCAATGCTTAGAGCACGCTATTTGGACAAGTATAGTATGTTTTCCAGCCTAGTTACTGTAAAACCAAGCGCAAGCGAGTGGGGATACATTACATGTAAAGCCACTCCTGGACTTTGATAGTAGTGAACTGTTATCTTCACTCATCTTTCTTGCACATAACTACACTCAGAGATGGTGCACATTCACCTGTAAAAAATTAAACCCTAATGGCAGTGCACTGCTCTCAACCCATCCATAAAACCCCCAATTTAACCAGTGTTAATGGGAGTCACACACAGGCACTGCCAGTACTCCGTGTGCCTGATGCTGTTGATATCTTGCTCCGTTATGATGGCCACAACAGAAATACTCTTATTGAACAGCACAGCATACTGCTGTTCAATCAAGAAGAAGGGAAAATCTGTCACGTTACACAAGAAAACTGCAATTTTACAGCGACCGCTTCCTACTGCCACACACAACACCAAAAAAGGGTGTGAGATTTTTCCTCCTGTTTTTGCCTTTTTTCCCCCCTTCTGTTAATATATTAACACAGTAATCAGGAAGGCAAATCGGTTGCTTGGCAAGCTCCCAATCTCTGCAAAGGACCTGAAAAACATCTACCTACACGTGGCAGTAATTGGATGGGTTTAAGCTACAAAACACTTTAATTTGCAGAAAAACCAAACCCCAATGAGTAGACAAACACTTTAAAACCACGCAAACTACAGATCAATAGTTCAAGCATTAGGCGAGCCTATGAACTGATTCAACAGTTAATATTCATTTAAGAGGTGGCTAAAAGGCTGCTGGAATAATGTCCATTTTACTGCTTGCTTTACTAAAGACAGTCTGTGGTGCTTGCACTGTCTTTAGACAGACCTGGAGGTATACGTTCATTTTGCTTGGTTTCTCTTTTGTTACGTGGGACTTAAAAAGGAGACCCAACCCTGTGACACGGATATTCCTTCCTGATGGCAGCCTCCCACCCATGCCATTTATTTGGGTTGCGCCAGAAGCCTCAGCCCAGAGCCCATTGAGCTGATTTATGGAAGATTCCCGCTGATTAATGGAATTTGGATCTATCCCAAGGGAGAAGGCAGGGGAGACTCAGGCCCTTACGCGAGTACTTTGCCTGCATGAAAGGGTGACAGGGCAGAGCTAGGGACTGCTTTTGAAATAGTAGCTATTGTTATGCTAAAACCAAAAATTAAAAGAAAGAGCGATCGTTTATCCCAACAGTTCTAATCCTTTCCATTTCTACATTAACTTGTCCTTGGAATAGAAAGCAATTTGCACGATTAAATAAGACGTGTGACAATGCAAGCAATTCCAGTTCAGCTCTAAGTTCACGAGAGCTGCACATAGCAGGGAAAAAAAAAGAAAAAGACATAAAAGAGAGAGAGCAAGAGAGGGGAAAAGAATAATCTATTTCTCAAGCTAATAACATTAACAACCTCTCCCTGCTAGGAAAGAAGCATGGTCCTTTCAAACCAACTTACTATCATATCTTTTCTGAATGCGTGACCTAGGATTTTTAGCACAAAGTTTGCTGCTCAGCGGTTGGCCCATAACAGTCCCAGACCTGCTCTGATCCAGGTGCACAGATGATAAAATTATCGTTTGGAAGTTAATTATTTATTGCACACCTCCATAAAGCAGATCAAAATTCAGCTGAGCTCCCTCCAGGCAGCCGGTCAGTGCGTGACCTGCCTCCCTTGACTCTGGTAGGGGCCACAGCACCAAACCCTGCCCCTACGGTTCAGTACAAGCTCTGGCTACAGCTGGCCAGCCCGAATCTGCTGCCTGTTAGCTGGTACAACAGCAGGTACAACCACTCACTGCCATCACTCGGAAAAGAGAGGCAAGAGGCAAAATGGCTTTTCTTCAGGTGGAGGTCAGACTCGCTGAAATCAAACCACATTTTTAGGCTCTTCTTGCCAGGAAATGGGATGGAAATTGGTTCCTTTTCAGGACCCAAACAGGTCCTAAGCTGGACCTAAGGATTTTTCTAGTGCTGGGTCTGCTTTAATTCTATATTGATAGGGTTTACGTCTCTATCTGTCTCTCAATGTATCTACAGATATATCTCAGGTGAATTCACATGAGGCCAAATTCTCACCTCTGTTACTGTGGGTATGCTGTTGTGGCCAGCATAACCCAGAGCTGAACACCCCTTCACTGCCAGCAGCTTCTCACCCTGCTCAGACAACAGCCAGGGACAGTAACATAACGGGGGAGCAGCAACTGCCTTGCTCTGTACCACAGAGATGGCCAGTCCTATGAGCAGGACCAATCCTGCCTTCCCTCTGGGTAGCTCCTTGGCTGTGCAACCGGAGCTGCTGTTGTACCTGGAAAGGGAAAACAGGCTTTATTGATAGAGGCGAGATCAATGACCTACATCAGAAGGGAAATGAAGAATCTGGGCCGGCCAGGATCCAAAGAGAAAGATACTCTGCACTACAGGAGAAAATGAAAGTTTGCTTGATTTTTCTAATCTGCGAACCAGAAAGTGTTCAACTGCAGATTAATCTGATCCCACGTAACAGAGAGATCAAGTAGAGTTTCAACCTTCATCAGCAAGAGCTGGACAAAACTGCATAGATCAAACTTTCATAGTTGGAACTATTGAAAAGGCAGTAAAATACCAGACCTTTCACAAGCGCCACTATTCGAGCAATA